CCGAATTATGAAGGACCATATGTGGTGAAAAAGGCTTTCTGAGGAAGGGCTCTAATCCTCACAAACATGGATGGACAAGATCTTCCAAACCCCATCAATTCTGATGCTGTAAAAAAATACTATGCTTAAAAAAAAAAAGAAGAAAAAAATAATTAAAAAAAAGAAAAAAAGAAGAAAACAGCTCGCTAGGTTGAAAACCTGAAAGGGCAACTTAGGCAAAAGTTAGAGCGACCTGGTGAGCTGAAAACTCGAAAGAGCGGCTCAGGCAAAAATTAAGGTCAAATAAATACTACACTGAACTGAAAACCTGAAAGGGCGGTTCAGAGGGGCACTAACTTCAGTCGCAAGAAAGAGCTTCAAATTGAGAAATATGATCGACTACAATACTAAATTGGGGCAATTTTGAGAGGTTAAAGTTGAATCAAACGGAAGATGGATTCAAAATACCATACTGGGGCATTTTATTTTGGCAGTTTTGTTAATGGATGATCAATTTACGGGAAAGATTAGCACTGTTCATCTGGAAGACGTCACTTAATCGGCATAATACTTCACTATTTTCATAGTTATTTTGATCCTTTGATGTATTATTTTTTTTTTCTTCGTTACTCATGTCGTAAGTCTTCTTTGTAAATTCACCATTTCTTTATTACAGTCATTCCTATGTTCCAAAAATATTTATCTTTGACTTTAGTCACCTTCTATCCAGCTTATATACACCTCTTTGTTTACTCAACTTCTTCAATAGCATTTTTATTGTCATTTCAATAATTATATACTAAAAGGAAACATGCAAACTGTTAAAAGGGTAATAAGAAAATACGATTACAATAATAAGCTATACAGTAAGTTCGATGAATCTCCTGATAATTTTAGCATGACAGAAGAAGTTGACTCCTCTTGACGATTCAAAAATAGATGACAGTTTAATTTGATTGATGTCTTACCTAGCTCCAATTTCATGAAAGAATTGATCCTGACCAAAGAAGTTACTCATTCATGAATCTTGACGCACATGTTCCAATAAGGTTGAAAGATTACTATTCCCCCCCCCCCCAAAAAAAAAGAGGACAGAGAGTTTGTTTTGATTTAATAAGTCTCATAACAGCATTTGACTTCATCACTCCAAGTGATAACATTCATTCAGTTTATGCAAGCGCATCATTACATTTGTATGCATTTGTTTTTATCTATTATCACCTTTTGAAGTTTAATTTAAATTCATTATCTGCCTTATAACCTTTATGTTCAGTCCAAGTCTATGATCTGACTGAGTTCTTTACTTTTCATCAAAATTCAGAAGTTGACTGATGTTTTTATTTTTCTGTCTTACTTTACTGTTAAAGATCAGAGTCTGACTGTCCTTTTGTTTTCTTTTGCAATCAAGAACATGATCAGCCTTTTATTTTTCTGTCTTTCTTTTTACCTTTCTTGTCCAAGTCCCTTTATGTTTTTGTCGAAGCCTAAAACTTGACAACATCTTTCACATTTTCTCAAAGCCCAGCACCTAACTGGAACATTTTGTTTTCTGTCAAAGCCCAGAATCTGACTGGCACTTTTTCCTTCTCTGTCAAAGTCCAGAACCTGGCTGGCACATTTTATTTTTTTTCAGTCAAAGCCCAGCACCAAACTGGCACCTTTCTCTTCTCTGTCAAAGTTCAAAATCGAATTGACACATTTTATTTTTCTGTCAAAGCTTAGAACCTACCTGCCACATTTTACCTTTCTATTAAAGTTCAGAATCGAACTGACATTTTACACCTTTTATCCTGTTGTTTAAGCCCAGTATCTGTCTGGCAACCTTTGTTTTTAGTTAAAAGTCAATGTCATTTCACAATTTTGTTTAATACAAATTTTCATAAATTATGACTTTCTCTAACAGCTGAGTGTTCATTATATTTGTCTTTGTATTCCTTGTACCCTCTGTTTATTTTAGACAAAAAAATTTGATTCACTTCTTTACTCAGTTCTCATCAACTCTAACTTTAAAATATCTCTAATTGATATGAACTGAGTAAAGAGGGGTAACTGTGAATACCATTTTTTTTATCTCCCAGGATTACCTCAAAAAATTTTTAAAAAAAATTTAAAAAATAAAATAAAATTGTTTTACAGAAAAATGGAAATTTTTGGAAAAAAACAAGTTTGGCTCACGGAAACGGAAATCTGCAGTATGCAGGCTCATACCCAGCATCAAAAACTGATTTAAGCATAAAAAAGGAAAAAAACTCATATTTTTGGCATTTTGTAAAAACCCTAAATGAACCCAATATAAAATCTCAAGCAAGAGATGCGGTGAGGGAGATTTTTTTCGGAGGAAGAAAGCAAAAAAAATTTTCAGAGAGAGAGAGAAAAAAATTTTAAGAGAGGGAACAACAAACTCTTGAAAATAATCCAAGAAGAAGAAAGGGATAAAAAAAGAGACCAACCATTAACCTCATTCTCTTCATTTTGGTTTAGATCGGGAACGTTTGCTAACTGTATTTAAGGTATTTTTCTCCTTCATTTCTCCTTTCTTTTTGCTTTGCATACGAAAGTTATCTTGCTCTAGTCGAAACTCTGGTAGACTCTTATAAAAATGAACTTAGGAATAGGAACTAAATGATACAAACATAAAGCTATTCATCCCGAACCGCTTCATAACGTTTCATATCTCATGGTTATCTTTTATATATATTATAATTAAAATAAAGTTGAAAGGACCTCTCGACGCATTGAATGTCGAGAGAAATGAGTGCTTGTACCACTGCACTATTCAAAATTGAATTCCAATGCAATATCCGGCGCTTTTTTTTTTTATTCATCATTATATTATGTTAAATATGTTATTGCTTTTTATTTATTTGGGTTTTGGGCTCGATAGCTCACACTTTAAAAAAAAAAAAATCATTTTAGGCTTTTTTTTTTTTAGCTTATTTTTTATATACATATATATATTTTTGTTTTGATTATTATTTTTGTTTTAACTTATTTCAGTAAAATTAGTCTATTATCTTTTTTTATATATATACCTTTAAATTCAATTTACTTTATTTTACGTTACTTTTATAATATTAGCATTTATTTTAATATTTTATTTGATTTCTATTTCCACTTGTAAAAGGTGTTTCTCTTCATTAAAAAAATTAAATAAAAAATAAATACAGAAAATTACTTTTTATAATTCTTGGATTTTTTTAATATCTATTTCATTATTTATTCATTATTATTGTACCATTATTCTTCTTTGTTATTTTGTGTAGATTTAGAATGTAATTTGATATACATGTCTTGTTTCTATTTGTTTTGATGAATAACTTATGTTTCTTATTTTTATCTTTTTGTTGTATAATCAATAATTTAAATAATAATATAATTGCATCAATTTATAATACTAACGTATAGCTTCTCTATCGTCATGTATTATAAATTGATAAAGTCTATGTGTGCCTACGTTACCAAGACTTTATGCAATATTAATTTATCATGTATTATCTTAAATTAATTAGTTAACCACTTTAATAATAAATCAAAGTATATTTTCCTTCTAATTACTAACTTACTTACGAATCAATCAACTAATTTAAATCTAAATTGTTTTATTAATAAAATAATTTATAATGCTAATGTGTAGCGACTCTACCTTCATGCACCGTAAATTGTTAGAACCTACGTGTACCAACGTTACCTTAGATTTTATATAACATAAATTTATCAAACAAAGTTTTAATTTTTATTATTATTATTAAATATTTTTTTAATCAATTGAAATTTATTTATTCATTTCATTAAATGAAATTAATTTCATATTTTAAAATTTCTTGAATCATATTTCTAATTTTAACAAATTAAATAATAAATCATTTCTCCATTTTTATTATATGATATAATCTTTTATAACGTCGATGTGTAATTTACATTGCCTTCGATTATCCAAAAATTATAAGAGATTAACGTATAGCTTACGCTATCTTTAATTCTCTTTCAGCATTGATCATAATCAAAATTCAAATTCAAATACTTAATTTACGAATATAGATATTTTAACGATTTGCAATATAGTTGTGTGATCTTCCTTCACTTTCTGTATTGTTTTCTCGTAGGGTACATGTATAACTGCATTATCTTGTATCCTAAACATTATAATTTTACGAAAATGATTTTAATTTTAAAATATATTTTTCTTTTAATAAACTTAATTATAATCAACTAATTTCATAATTTTTAGATAGAACTACGTGACTTTGAGTTCCCTATTGCACCTGGGGATACGTAGGAGCGGGAACCGAATCCGTCAAGTCAAAATAATTTTTAAAATAACCCAAATAATATTTCAATAAATAATATTTCTTCTTCTAAAATAAAATAATTAATGTTTAGGGGTTAAATAAATATTTTTCAAAATTAGAATGAATTTGCACAATTAATTTTAGGTAACCGTTTTTAAACGGACGTTGTAGGGTGCTAATACCTTCCCTACATGTAAATGACTCCCGAACTCATTCTTGGTTTCAAATATCGTATTATATTTAAGTTTTTCCAAGGTTTTTCTTAAAATAAACTTTGATGGCGACTCCTCTGATACGTTTTTTTAAAAAAACGTTTTTCGCCGTACCGTTGCGACCTCCCGGTTGCGACAGGAGGAGTGGTCGAGGTCGATTTGGCGGGCATTAGAATAGTCACACGTGCTTGTGGGTTGGGCTAATGGGCTCGGCGACCCAACTCCAAAATATACATTATACACAAGACCCAAAAAAAAAACGCCCGAGCAGTCGTTTACGGATACAGAACTTTTTGTTTCTGAACCGTTCACATGTAGACCCAAAAAAAAGTCCATTTACATGATTGTTATTAAACTGAAATAAAAAAAAAAAACTCAATTGCATCATTTATATACTTTATACATAATTCACTTATTTCCCACCCCAATTAAATGGTATCAACATTGACAATAAGTTCCCTCTCAAGTTTTAATTTTTTGCAATATATGATTAAAATTTAACACAAACAACGGGAAATGAAGAAATGCACCTAATATTTATTCATTCCAGCACAAAACAGTTTATTACATTATCTTGCTTTCTATTTCATTCTATATTGCAAAAAGAAGCAATCCAGATTGAATTGAGCAAAGCCATTTACACAAAAAGGACATCCATTTCGTCACTTAGATGAACAATTTCTCTTCAAAAAAGTCAATTTCTCAAAATCAACAACCAATAGAAAAACAAATTTGATCACTAAGGTTTAATATGTGGAGATCAACAGAAGACTAAATATACATTAGATAACAAAATGTAAAAGAGACCACAACAAGTACAGCTAGAGTTACACTACTAGTGAATGAATGAATCACACCAGTAAAATTAGGCAGCAGCAGCAGCTTCTTCAGTTTTCTTAGTAGTTTCCTTCACTTTCTTCCAATTCTCTGTACTATCAATTATTTCTCCAGTTTTTATAAGGTAGCGGACTCTTTTACCATTATCAAGGACTTTATGACCCACGCGACTCGCTACATTTTGATCTTTGGAGTAGAGCATCACATTTGAGCTGTGGATAGGACCTTCAATCTGGAATTAAAGAAGAATGTTTCTCGAAAGCATTAATTGATCATACACACCAATGAATTGCATGTATGTGTTTCTATTTAATATGCCAAAATATAACTAAATAAACTATAAGATTGACGCATTTCTAGGTAATTGTTATTCTGTGTCCCTGGGAACTCGTTAAGTAAACGAAGTTTGTTAAACAATTGCTTTGTATACACATAAATAACCAATGAATGAGATTTCAAAGAAAATTATGGCATATCCATGCTATCTGAGTGAACAAAATAGTTACTTTCATTTCTAGAAGAGCATACAGAAGTGGAAAAGAATTCATAATTATTTGTTTTCTAGCAAGGGAAATGAAAACAACCTTAATAATTTGCCCGGGTTCCCCCTCTTCTCGACTCTTCATATGCTTTGTCTTCAAATTCATATCTTTCACTACAACAGTGCTGTTATGCTTGAAGACTTTAGTAATCTCCCCAACTTTACCCTTTTCATGTCCAGATATGATTTTCACTGTATCTCCAACTTTAACATGCATTTTGTGCAAGATAGGAAGGCTGTTTGGTTTACATTTCTTTCGTTCCCATCTTTTAAGCTGCCAGAAGAGACACACAAAAGAAAAATTCACAGAAGACTGTTATTAAGGCTAGCTACCCAATATATTTAAGTTGATCCATAACTACGTCTTTTTATGCTGTTTTACAACATAAAATTAACAAAAATTTAAGATTTGTTTTGTTTACATTCTCCTAACTCCTAAGAACATGAAAAAGCTTCACTCCTGATTGTAAAGACACAATTTAAACAGATCCAGTGTCGGTGTCAAGTTCTATATAATATTCATAAATGAGAAAGTTCTATATCTCAGAAGGAGCTAAGGTATTACATTTATGTCTTGAGCAGGTTTTTTCTTTTAATACAAAGCAAAATACGGCTTACGAATTTTGCAAAATAAGTCAAATTGTGCTCTCAGTTAGCAAAATAATTTTAATCAAATTGTTTCTTTTGTAGTGCCACCAAGTAGCAACATATAATGAAACTGCAAATGACTGAAACAGCACCTGCTCTGATCTCATTATTGTTAACATTTTGTCCATTTTCATTTTGAATTAAAAAAAATCTGAAAAAACACTAATCATTTGTCATGGATAAGGCCAGAATCTGACACTAACCTTCATTACAATAGGACGTTGCTTCTCTGTTGACTTACCCTGCATATCACAGAGATAAAAGAATATCTATTTACTCTACTAAACTTTAAAGCACTGCATCTGTAGGAATTGGGAAATTTAATTGCAAACTTGATTTATTTTATCCTTAATAGCCAGTCAATCTTCAGTCTGACAAAATATTAATTTAGTTGCTATTTCTGATGAATTGAAACATAAAGCATTCTTGCAAGTTGCTATAAAACCAAGACCAAATAAATAAAAAGAGAGTCTCAGGATTTGGAGACTGATCAAAAGAGCTTCTTAAATGATAGTATTGTTAATTAAAATGATAAATGGACTAAAAACCAAGGGGAAATCATGGCTAAAGCATGAATTGAAAATATTCATAAGAAATGGTAAGCAATTATTTCCTGCAATGCCAAAGTTTGCGGGAGCTAATATAATGGACAAATAAAGCTAACAAAATTCTAAAAAGCCTAATTGGAAAAGAGCTCCAAGTTTAAAGGTTCATTCCATATCAGTATAATATGTCCCTTCACTAAACAAGGCAACAGCTTCAACTCAAAAGTTTATTGAGTCAATTTCTTAACTTCAGAAGTACCACGTAGACAAGCACCAAGAAAATGAACCTAGTACAGTCAGAATTACTTGTACTTTCCATTATAAGGAGTGAGCTAGGCGATTAGTGAATAGTAAGAAACAGGTTTGAATTCATTCATATCTCAGATTTTTCAATTAGCAGGACACTGGGATACAAATACAAATGGGAGTATCCGCGCATCAAAGTCCAGTGAAATAGCCTCAATAAAAAAATGTACATTTTCCCACTCAAAATAACAACAAATTCCATCTTTTTCTTCCCACAGGATTCACTTTATATTCATTTTCAAACTAGAACCAACTAGGCTCCAATGGTAGATTCATGTCGAACACGTAGTCATTTCATGGATTAACATATTCATTCTAAACCCCCCACCCCAACACCCACACACACACACAAACATGCATTTAAACATAGCAAAAAATTGGAACCATGAATGAGGGTTGTGTATTAGAAAACCAAGAGAATATTGTAACGTATATCCACTAATTTTAAGAAGAAATCATTTTTATTATTATTTTCAGGAAATGTGCTAACAATATCACTACATTTACAATTGAAGACCCGAAATAATATTAAGGTAAAAAAAAAAAAAAAAGAGTTGAATTGGTAAGAGCCATGAGTTTGGACGCTAACAGGGAACGAACACATCTTCTAAAAAGCAAAAGACCCATTTGGATACTGGGAGAAAGGAAGCAAATGGAGTGATCAAAATTGAAACTTGAATTGAAATGAGTGATGGGTAGAGAGATAAGTGCGTACTGGAAGAACAGGGCAGAGAGTGATGGGAGAGAGACGCTGCCCTAAGAAAGAGTTAGAGGAGAGAGAGAGAGAGGTCATGGAGCTCTGAAGTGCAGCCATAGCTGCCATTGTTGCTGCAACCTCTTATTCTTTCCGCTTCTGATAGATAACGATTATGGATAATACACTGCAAGTGTAGAGCAGAGTGGCGAGGAAATTAGAGAAAAAAATAAGCTGATCAGAACGACTGCGTATTGTTTTGTTCTGACAATGGATTGTGGGCTAAGTGGACCATTTTACCGAGCCCGAATTTGGCTCATTCAGTGACCCAATTCCCTCTCGTTTCATTTTCTTTCCAAAAGCTAGATATTATTAATTGACCAAAAAGAATTAGATATTATTATTATTATTATTGAAAAAAGTATAATTCCAGTCCGTAGAACTGATTTTAAGCATCTAAAAATAATAAATTTTTATGAAAAAAAGCAGCATTTATTATACTTTCATATTCTCAGTATAATAAATATAAAACCAAAATTTATTACTTTTTAAGTTTTAATTACTTAAATTCATTTGTGAAGGCTGATTAACATTTTCCTTATTTAAATAGAAAGAATGTTACAGATTACTCAGCGTGACTCAATTCACGGACAAAAGGATAGAAAGATTTAGATATATTAGATATTTCAGAAAAGAAGAAATAGAATGTGTTGGCATGTATTTGACACGTTAGTATTTTAATCCTTTAGTGCAAGTGCGTTTAGAAAAGATCAATAAAGAAAAAAGGATCAACCCCATTATAAATATCTTTAATTACTATTATTATTGAAAGGTAACCTGTCTCCCTTACGACCCACTGGCTTTTGAGTTTGACATTTTATGATCTTTGTCAATTATAACTGGAGAACTCATTTGTAAAGTAACTGGGATGAGTTTATTAAAATTAATTCTAATATGTAGAATGCTAACGGAGTATAGAAATAGATTGTTGACAAGAAAGGTAACTTGCCCTTTTGTCACTTCAATTTCATTCAAGAAAGTATTAATATACAAATTCTAGTGTCATTTCTGCAAGACAACAGAACTGAGGTATGAGAAATAACAAAAAGTAAAGGAAAAAAAGTGAGAAAAAGGAACATGTTAACACAAATACACATGATCATTAAATCCCTCGTGCCTCATGTCTCCAAAGGCTAAAACTACAAATGTAACAAAAAAATGAGATAAATGTAAAACCATCTCCTACACATCATACATGTCAGCTGCACTATCTATAGATTCTTCTCTTTGGTGGGTAGCAACAGAACTCTTTGTTTCTAGCTGATCAACATCAATGGAAACTTCATCTCCCGTGGCTGAGAGAGACTTCATGTGATGATTCCTTTGGTGCCTTGACTTAAGGATACGTGTCAACACTTGCACTATGTCCCTCATGGAAGGGCGTTTCTTTGGGGCACGGTTGATGCATTTGTAGGCAAGAGCAGCCACTTCATTCAGCTCTTGAAAATCACATTTTCCCTCCAGCCGAGAATCAACAATCTCCTCCCAACCAACTTTCCCCTCAGTATTCATTGCTGCCTAATCATCCATCAACAACAACATTCATTAGCATAAAAAATTAATCATGCATAGTGTGCTACTAAAACAATGATTTTGCTAATGTACATGTTAAAAACATTAAATATATTTTATTAAATGTCTTAAATTACTATAAAGAATATGCTTTAAATTTTTTATGATTTGAAGACACGTTTTAAAACAAAGCTTTCAGATAGGACAATGTTGTGTTGGATCCACATTTTCTGACATGGTTCTAAACACATTTTATCAACAAAAAGAATCGGCAAATACATTATCTTTGGCAGGATTTATAAGGGGAGATGGAGAGAGGGAGAGATCTTACAAGCTCAACATATTCCATAAGACCCTGCTGAGGATTTCGGCCAGCTATAAGTTCAAAGAGCAACACTCCAAAACTGTATACATCACTTTTCTTAGTGAATGTCCCTGAAGATATATACTCAGGGTCAAGATAGCCGAAGGTACCACGGATAGCTGCATGTTTATCCACCATCTCTTCTCTTGAAAGTCCAAAATCAGCAACCTGTTTGATTCATCATCATCAACTACAGCATAAGAAGCCTCCTAACCAACACTAAATGATTAAAAGAAAGTCATGTGTGGATACCAGAATCATCCTTAGCCAAAAAAGTCATTTTCTATTTTACAAACTATCTTTTTGTTATAATGTGATGATTATAGCAAGGACATACCCTGGCTCTCATAGACTGATCAAGAAGAATATTGGAAGATTTGATATCTCGATGGATTACAGGAGGAACTGCCTGAAGTAACAGCACATACAATTATAAGCTATAACTAGATATACAAATCAGAATTATATCTCATATTCTCAGTGTAGATCACATGGAAACTTACCCCATCATGAAGATATTCTACGCCTCTTGCTACGTCTAAAGCTATATGAACCCTCAAATCCCAGCCCAGTGCCCCATTCTCTTCACCTGAATATAGAGACAAGTATATATGATTCACTTAATATTGCATATGAAAGATGAATTTAATATGAATCACCAAAAAAAGAAAACAAAAATTGAAGGGCATATATTTCAAAATACTATTTCATATCGTGCTCACAGGATCTTGTTAAAAGTTCCTTCCTTACAAGGAAAGAATTCAGGACATGAAGTTTTTCAACCAAAAAAGATAGATAGCTAACTTACTATACAAGTGGGAAGCTAAGCTGCCTTTACTCATGTAGACATATACAAGCATATGTTGTCCCTTCTCTGCACAATAACCAACCAAATTGACCAGATTTCTATGGTGCAACCTTCCCAACAGCATAACCTGATAAAAATTAAAACATAAATTAAAATTGGCAAATTATTCTGGTTTCAAGTGAAGCATAGATCATAGAGAAAAATTTACCAAAGACTGTGCAACTGCTAAATTACCAGTATTCCGAGTTGACAAGTATTTATATCAAGTGTAGCACAATGCAGTAGCATGCCACAAATATGTACAAGGTATTTTAGGGGAAAAAAATATATCGATAAAGTAAAAATCACATTTCTCATATTTAGATTTCCAAAATGGCATTTAGACATTAATACTTCTTTGCATCCCTCTTATATTTGATTTGTTAGGCTTCCTCCATAAATTTTACCAGGCTACTGCATTTAACATATGCTTTCCTCTGAAATTTTTGTGTTGAAAAATAATGACTAATTCTATCAAATCTTTGCCAAAGTAATGAGAAATGATTATTGGTAACCATCTTCACCTCTGTATGAAATTCTTTCTCCCCTTGCTTAGAATTAGTTGCAAGAACTTTAACTGCAACAATCTCGCCAGTAGACATCTGAGCTTTGTAAACAGGACCAAATGCACCTTGTCCTATGAGCGTTGTAAAATTATATGTTGCCTTTTGCAAATCCCTGAAGCATAAATATAAGAATTAAACAGAAAGAAAGAAGAGATAAGTGATATGAAAAAAGCAGATTTTCTGTTGACGGTAGAGTTCAAACTTCAAACTATTGTAAACTTCATTTCACTTTTACAAACGAGCAGTGATCATTAAAATTTACAAATTTCCAAACATAAGAATGGAAGGACGAGACATGATGAGTCAAATGCCTAGAGACAGCTAAGCATTTATTTCAACAGGTATAACGGTGTTATGGTAGTTTAAAGCCATCCTTTCCTTAGTTTCATCATCTAATATTGAAATTCTCCAACCTAATTAGTCCATTGAATTTCTCTTAAAAAAAAGACCATGGAAGCATTTAAGTTTTATTTAGAATGAACCATGTAAGAAAAAATATACAGCTTATTATTATTCATATTCATACAGTCTAAAAGCATGTAAATGTACAATAATTTAGAGAAGCTTCATATAAAAACAAGAAGAATAACACAAGTCAATTCACTATAAGACAAACATACTTGTATGAGTATTCTGGTATTCCAGATGCTGAAACCATGTTACTAGTCTTCTTGAAGCCATCAAGCCAGAGGGACATGCCATTACGACCAGACCTTACAGGTGAATCAGGACCTAAGGTTGAGTCTGATAGAATGGTGCAAGAATCAGCACCATTTTCGCGAATAGGTATTGTAGCCGCCCTCCGTGAACTGCTATTGCCAATCTGTGAGCGCTTCCTATGATATCTAAGACAGAACAATGCAGAAATTGCCAAACCAACTCCAATTACCACACCGATGGAAATCCCAATTATTAGTCCAGTTGACTCTTCTTTCATCTCTCCTCTTTCCTCTTCTGTGCTATTCCCTATTGATTATCCAATCCATTGACATACCTGCCAAATGGTGCATCATCAACCATGCAACAACACATCGTAAAAGACATGCCACTAGTAATAGACTAATAGACATTGAATTTGAACAAGTCAATTGAAGGCTTTTACTCTTAATTTTCAAAGTTATTATAAAAAGTCATCAGAAGTATACAACACTCCGAACGTACAAATCTCAGTTTGAAAAATCAAAGCTGGACTATGACATCACTATATTGAATAACCGACCAAGCATACTGGATGAGAATAAACCCATCATGGCCATCCGAAAGTCAAATTTACCAAAATCACAAATTATACAGAACAAGGAATGCATCAAGGGCCCAAAATAGAAAGACAGAACATGTAAAATTCACACAAAATGCAAAACAATCCTAAATATCTCCCATATACCAAACTGAAACGCATAAATCTTAACACTTAGTCGTTTTTCTGTTCTTCCAAACTTGAAACAAGAGAAGGAGAGCAAGATCAGAATGATGAAAAAAAATGTCCAACCCAAAAATGAAATCTCAACTGAGATTCATATAAGCATATGCCCAAATGCAAATAACTTCTTTTAGCATCTTCTCTCTGTTCATCCCACAAAGATTCCTTTTTTCTCAGCAACTAAATAAGGGTATACAATTTTATTTTATTTTTCTAAAAAAATGAAGAAGCATATATGCAGTTAACTAGCCTAGTTCAGACACAAAACACACTTTGAAGAAACAGCATAGGATGACAGATCAAAAACACTGACAACAAAGACGGTTGACAAAAAGCGAAACATGTTCTGAGAAAACCACGAAAGGTGTGCAACAGAAACTCACCAATTCACACTAGAATAATAATAACAGAACTGAAGCCAGTTACGTGTTTTGTGGAAGCGTTACATAAGACACAAAGTGAAACCCAGAAGTGAGAAGGAATCAAGAGGGAAAAGGATTCTGAATGAAATTTCAAAAACAAAAATGCGAGGAAGAATGTGTAAAAGAGTTGCAGACACAGCTTCAGAACAATACAAACGAAAAAGCATATAGAAACCAGAGAATACAGAAAACGGCAAAGTCGCCGCTAAAAAATAATAATATAATATATGATTTCTTTTAATGTACATTATTTACAGTCAATTTTTATTAAAAAAATATTAAATGTTATAATTTTAAATAAAAATTTATTATTTATTAATCTTTATTATATAAATTTAAATACACGTTAAAAATAATAAAATTTAATATTAATAGAATTTGTAATAAAAAAACGCGTAAGATTAGTAATTTACAAATTTACATTTTCTATAATATTCTCAAAAAAAAATTTCTCTTTCTTTTCCTGTGCTTTTGTGACATATGGCAATTATTCTCATTCAAGATATGTTTGGGAAATTCGGAATTGTGGTTGGAGCGATCAAATGCGGCAGGGCCCATATTAAGCTGGACACGTGGTCCTTTAGTGGCCGTACTATCACACTTGTGATTATATTAAAGAACCACTTGATTGCCTTCTCGTTGAGGAGAATAAATAGCTCCAGTCTCAAGGCACATGTGCATTTTTATAGCATGAGATAAATAAAAAAGTTAATTTTAATTATTTAATTGTATACATAAATAATTAAAATTTTAATGTTAGTTCTTCCCATCTTTTTAGCTTTCACCTCGTTCACTCACTTTATGTGAGTATTTATATTCATTTATAAAAAATTTATTATTTAAATAACTAAAAATAACATTATGTACGATAATTTATATTTATTATTTTACCCTTTAGACACACATTTTTAAAATATGTCTGTATTTATAAAATGTGACATTATTTATGTCGAGAACAGGGCAACAACTCTGTACGGTTGCTCTTGCAGCCGACCTAATTTTTGCTCTTTCGTATATTTATTTGAATTTAAATCTTCTGACGAGCAAGTGACCAAGTGGCAATAGCAATGAACTGAACAGAATTTTTGTTTTCAGCAATATCTACATTTCTTTTGGTTTGTAATTTTAACAATATTTTACGATAACTGATTAAAAATTATGGTAAAAATACAATAATTTACTGTTGTATATTTGAATTTTCAATATAAAAATAATTGAACTACATCATAAAAACGGCATAAACAGTACAAATGATTTAGAATCGGATTCAAATCTCAATTCCTCATATTTTAACTATTTCTAGGTCAAAAGAAGTACATTATGATGTGAACATTAAAATTTCTATATTTAAATTCATACTATTGTCAAAAAATTTCCTACTTTAGTATCCGGCTTTTAGTTTTCAAAAAAGCTATCACTAGTGATTAAAACAAAACATACATATATTAAAATGTACTCCTCATTTGAAAATGATGTCACTTATTATGGGTTTCAAAATAAACATAAAGGATCAAATTTAAAACACTCTTTACTGTTATTCTTTTATCTTAAATAAAATAAAGGAACGCGTTGACAAATAAGTGTGTAACAATGGTTACATATTATGTCCATGGGGACCATACCCAAATTGAATATAATTTAATGGGTTATATATAAATCTGGATGGGATACAACTCCCCCTTTTTCAGGAAAGTTTGGGGTGTTGAACCAATGAAAAGATTATGTAGTTTTGTAAAGCATAAGAGGTAACGAGAATTAGAATTTCTATCCACAAATCATGTCCCAAAATCAAGACAATGCAATAAATAAATAATGGATGCATAAAGCGAAGTTAGTTGATTTTGGCGGATAATAGGTATGAGAAAAATGAGAACGGAAGTGATCGACTATCAACCTAACACACCTAAATGACCTAATGTGACATGAAACAAAAGAAAGCGATAAATCCATGCAATACTGCAATTTGGGGATGAAAACAAAGTGAAGCCCACTCCTGACCTTTTAAGAAAGTGATAACTTCTCATGTGGTTGTGTGATTATTGATTAACTAAGATAATATTCAAGCCCATGTCATAATCAAGACAAAACATACATATAAATTAGAGTAGTTAACTCTTAACTCCTTTATATATATATATATAATGTAAGTTTCTTCTGTATTTACAAAATCTATACAAACTTCTTTTTATGGAATAAGCTTATGAAAAAAATTTATATATAGAGTGCAAGGTCACATGATTAGAATAAAATGCCAAAGAGATTAAAACAATTTACTCAATCAATCATGTTATCTGCCTGGAAGCTATTATTGCCTATAATGGCCACCTCTTTGTCTTATAGTTTAGCATTTTGACCTTCAATTTCTTCTTCTTTTATACTTGGTGAACATTAACATCAGGTATATCACCTTACCTACGTGGGAGAGTGAAGATCAAAATATATATGTATTATAAACAAAGTAAAATTAACTATAACAGAATAAATAAAATTATACAATCTAAACATGAATTAGTGAATATATAAATACACGTAGATAATATTGTAGTAAATTAGTAATAAGTTCTACACCAGAATCAAATATGGTTTTAAGTCGTTATCATTAATAACTCAAATTATTTTCAAGTGTATCATTGTCATATTTTCCTTATCAACTAATTAACGCCAAATTAACTTTCATTTTAAATTTCGTTCTCGATGCTTTGGTCAAAGTGCTGAAATTTAGTTCTAATTTAATAGTGTGGTTGGTTGGCTATTCCACAGCCGTTAAAGGGCATTTCAATTAAATCCGTATGCTTATCAAGAAGAAAGATTGTTCAACAAAAAATAAATTTTTTTTTATTAAAATATGTTAGTAGTATGATCTTATCATGATTTTTAATAAGTCTTAAAATAAAAACAATTATCAATCTCTAATCAATATCTCTAAAGGACTGATTAATAATATTTTTTAATTTTATTTTTGAGTCTTAAAATATATATAGATTTTCAGGCAGACACCCAATCGCTACTAGACGGAATATTGCACACAAAAAAAAAAAAAGTTGTGCAGCACACGTTTCATTCGACAAAACAATATATTATTTCTTATTGGTACGGAAAATCAAATAAATATAATAGTATTAGATTGTTAATAAGAATAAAGTGGCCAATTTTGTGAGAACACATCGGTCTAATTACCAGTAAAAGCCAAAACAATAGACTTTTTCCTCACAATTTGTCTTCTGCTTTTTATAACCCTGATATTGTTGCCGATTTAATGTGCTTCAATGGCATATAATATACATTTTATACAATTAAGACGAGACTATCAAGGTTCTTTTTACAAAAGGAAGTGCTTGATAAGAACTTGCAAGAAAGCTTTTTTGAAAACCCAAAACTACAAACAACATTTTAAAATTTGTGTGGACTAAACCAAGGGTTGATGCAGTGTTTGGTAGTGGTTATAATTTCTATCAGCTTTTGCCTTTTCATTTACCTACTCTTCTATACATTTCTAGGAACCAAAGAAAATAAAGGCTTCACTAATTAGGGTTTATTTCTTTTAGGGTAACAATTCATTTATCATGTTACACACATTTTTATGTAAAATCTGCAATTGAGAGTAACTTAAACACATATATTCCACTTATATTTAATAAATAAGTTACTTTGTCTTAACTTTAAAATAATAAACTCTTAATCAATAATTTGTGGATGGGTGAAATGAGATGAAAAAAGGGTTCAAAAAAGCCTTTATTTATGTAGTAAAAGGACGGTGGTTGTTGGCATCTCACAATTACAGAAGCAAAAGCCTTCAAGGACCTTTTAAGTTTGTTTCAGTAGATTAATTCAATTTTCTAATCAGTTCATCAAGTTGACCCAAAATACAAAAGTTCATCAAAGATTTTATCAGCTTTTTTTATGGAACCTTGAGAAAGAGACGATTTTTTTTTCCTTTTAATTGAAGATAAAGCCATGCAAAGTCATGTTCTGACATGGGAGTGAATATATTTCTTGATAAGAACTTTTTGGTTACGCTATCTACTGGTTATCTGTCAGAAAATGCCCAAACCAGATGAAGCATGCAATCATCAATTCTTTTTCATTTTTTCTCTTAAATTAAGAGAGAGAGAAATCATGGATTGCATGTACTTGTAAGCACGTTTAAGTGTATAACTTGAAGGCAAAGATTCCAAGCCATTTGTGACTGCATGAAGTTGAATGGAACTACAATGCATGTGATTTGCTCATGTGGAGGCATGTGCTTTTGTTCTCTGGCTCCACAACTCTTGTTCTAGCTCCATCTTCATGACATGAATCATTGGTTTAAGTTAATCACAGGGTACACTTCTTATGTAGTTTATATTATAAAACCACTAATTTATCTTCCCTAAATCATATCCTATCAATTTTTATAACGAAATATCAAATATTTGATTACTAAGACTCTTTGAAAATAATTGGTCTTCATCATTTGCCATTTACTAATCAAGTTCGGATTTTTATT